TTGTTCTTGTTGAGCTTCTTGAGGTCCTCGGCGGAGCGGAAGGGCATCTCAATGTTCTTGGCCTTGTCGCAATCGTGAGCGTCACCGAGAATGGCAACGGTCATCTTGGGGCGGGGGATGTTGGGCAGCTTGATGGTTCCCGAGAAACGCTTGTCACGCTGGGGATCGTAGTTCTTGAGACCGATCTGGAGCTCGACGGTCTCGACGAACTTGCGCTTCTGCTCGCCGGTCGAGGCGCTGAGGAGGGTCTTGACCTCCTCACGGACTGCTGCTACTTGAATCTTGCTTCCGCTATAAACAGGACAATTAAGAGGGTGAGAGGGTGCGTGGTAGAGATGCGGGCAGAGCGTTAGTGCGTGTATGCTGCTTGATTTATAGCATAAACAGACGCAGCGTGGCCTGTGCGTCTGTGTCTTTGTTTGTGGGCGTAGCGGCGCTCATTGCAACGCAAGCAATGCGAGCAGAGGGAGGCAGCCTCAAGCCTGCTAATTCAAGCAAGGACATGGGCCAGGGCCAGAACAAAAGCTATGATGCGCCCTGCCAGCAGCAGCGGCAGTACTGGGTTCAAAGCCATATTCTGGCTCGGTTTCCTCCGTCACAAACAAGGCTGGCAACTTGGCGCTGCCTCTGTTCGCACAAGCCCAACTTTGCCAATTCCGAATTCCGAATTTTCAATTACAGAAATTCGAATTTGGCGCAATTCGTGGCTGCTGTTCCGCACTGGATGCCGTGGTTCCGGCTCACGGATGCGGTGTATCGTCCGCTTGTGAGCGATGCGTACCTCATTTTGGATGGATTCGATAATGGTGACTTTACAGAGAAAGAAACGGATTCAGCCCTTGGCTGGATGCAATCGCGGATTTGGCTGAGCAGGCAGACAAAACAAAGAAAATAGACAGGCCAGCAAACAGGTATTCCAAATCACGTGTAAAGGGTTTGGGCCAATCGCAGCGTGAGCGTAAATAAGCACAAGGCTCACGAAAACGCCCTTTATTTTTTCTTCCTGGGCGCAGCATAGCACTGCTCAGCTCAGCTCAGCTTTGGCGTCGCTGTCGTTCATTGCTGCTGCCATTTGCTGTGCTTTCCATTTTGGCTCTTGCATTCGCACACTCCACATTTTAGCACGCTCAATTCGTAACAATGCACTTTTGTCCGTCGTGCTCAAACTTGCTTCTGGTCGAGAACGGCGTCGGACAGAACGGCGAGACCTGCCTGGTGTGCCAGACGTGCCCGTACATGTTCCCTATCTCAAAGCCGTTTATCTCACGCACGATTCTTAAGCGCAAAGAGGTCGACGACGTGCTGGGCGGCGAGGAGGAGTGGGCTAACGTAGACTCTATCGAGATTTCGTGTCCAAAGTGCCTCCACGAGCGCGCATACTTTAAGCAAATCCAGATGCGGTCGGCCGATGAGCCGATGACTGTGTTTTTCCGCTGCTGCAGCATGTCGTGCAACTTCAACTGGAAGGAGAACTAAGAATAGGACGGGAACTGGGACTGGGACTGGGACTGGGTGGATAGTGCTTTTTTTTGCAGGATCCTGAGTATCTTTTTGTCTTGTTTTTGAATAAAATTCAGTGTAAATATTACGCGGGATGCCACAACAAATTTTATTGCATGGAACTCGACCTTTTAGTGGAATTGCGGGGAATATTATTTGGCAGCATGGGCATGGGCTAAAATAGTATCGGATTTACATGCGTGCGTCTTCATCGCCCGCCAATTCTAAACTAACAGTTTGCAAAAAAAAACTGTAAACGAGTGCGATAATAGAGATCTTCATTGCTTCGTTGTTTTAGAGTACTTGCAGGGTCTAGCGGACAAATAACGGATAATGGCTGTGGACAACTATAACGATGATCTCGATGTTAAAACTTTCCGATCTAAAAGCAACTCCAGCGACGCCACCGCTGCTAAGGATGTCGACTACCTGCTTCCTTTTGTCGAGCCGTATAAAGACATGCTCGGCAGTGTGAAGTCGCCATTCTTTGCTCTGAGATATTTGGTTCGACTGAAAAACGGCACAACCTTTATTCTGTTCGGGCTGACCTGCATTTGGGTCTCGTCTTACGTACTCAGCCTTCGTGGCGGAGACCTCCTGCTTATCAACAACAATCTCGGACTTCTCGGAGCCGAAATCATAGTGTCCGTTCTCTCGCTGACGGCCATGGTGACCATACTGTACATGCGCAAGCTGAGGCGAACGATGCGGCGAAGCATGGCAGTCCTCATACTGGTCATCTTCGCGGCACTGTATCTGTACGACCATGGCGAACGATTCGAGCAACATGGATTCTACAACCTGCTGATATTCCTGCTGATATTCATCCCGCTCAACGCTGTCATTGTGACGGTGTACATCCTGTTCATGACGATCCCAAACTTTATCGTGATCCTGTTTGTCTCTCTCATTGTCATGGCATGTGGCGGTACAGTGGTCCTGCACCACTACATACGCGTCTTTGACCAGGGCATGTTTGGCCAGCTGGAGAACATCCCGGGCGAATGCAGGTGGCAGGGGAGAAACTACCCACTTGTAGATTTGCTGCCGGCCGGTACGCAGAACTTCTGGGCCGGCAGCATGAACTGCAAGGCCAACGCGGATCACATAACGGCCCATTTCGATGACAATGGTATCCTGAGCGCCAGCTGCACAGCAGATATGCCCATTTACGTGGATATACTGCCCGATACACGGGCGTGGCCGCTGAAGGACAAGTCCAAGTGGCAGGTCTTCAACCACCGCGTACTGGGCGACATGGAGCGGAAAACGTATGTCAAGCCGCTGTTTGTCGAGGAGGGCACCCAGGCAGTCATTGTGCGCTGTGGATCGGAGAGCAAGATCGTGACTAGGGTCAGCCCGCATCCATCGCATCTTCCCAGCTACGTTCCGCCAGCAGACACCGATACGCGGCAGCCCACAACAAACGAGACCACTGTGAGTGTGGCGGGGAAGCGTCCAAATGTTATATTCCTCTTTGTCGACGCCATGTCCCATCGGCAGTTCTACCGGCGGCTGAAAAAGACAGCAAAGGTGCTTCCAACACTGCACCAGCCGGGAAAGGCAGAGCTGACCGAGCTGTACCGGTATCACTCACTAGGCGTGAGTACCGATAACAGCACAAAGGCGATGTATCTGGGCGAAATATTTCCGCAGAAGGAGAAGCCCCTGCCAATCTGGGCGTACTTCCGCGACCGCGGGTATATAACAGCGCGTGTCGAGACATCGTGCGAGGACTGGGCAAAAACATACACGGGCAATTACTACCCCAGCCAAAAGTACTCCGTGGGCGAGCGCAGTCTGGACTACGAGCTGTCCTCGCCGTTCTGCATGCCCGAGTTCTATCCGTCGTCGGGCAACGCCTTTGGCAACTTTAAGGGACCGTTTTCGATCGTCGCACGGTGCCTATACGGGAAGCACGTGCACGAGTACGGGTTTGAATACGTGGACCAGCTGCGGAAGGAGCTCCGGTCTGTGGCAGAGGGCGAGCGGCGGCCGTATCTCATGATGCTCAATCTGATGGAGGGCCACGAGGGCACAGGCGAGGTGCTGCGCACGCTGGACAACCGGCTGTCGCAGTTCCTCACGGACCTGCGCGAAAGTGGCGAGCTGGAGGACACAGCGCTGTTCCTGGTGTCAGACCATGGGCTGCACATGGGCTTGAACTTTGCGTTTCTGAACAGCGGGCAGATCGAGCACAAGAACCCGTTCTTTTCCATGGTATTGCCGCACTGGCTACGCGCGCAGGTGGACAAGCAGGGCAATAGCGGGCTGTCGCTGAACGAGCAGCGATTGACGACGCCGATGGAGACGCACTTTGCGCTGAAAACACTGGCCAACTGGCCGGCATACGATGGGGCTGACTTTGCCCGCTCATTATTCACGGCAGTGCCTGCCGGGCGCACGTGCGAGCAAGCGGGGATCGGAGCAAACTTTTGCATGTGCCGTAATTAGAAATGTATATTGAACCGCTTATTAAAATGTGTTTAATTCTTCAAGCTTTGTTTTTCAGCGTATGACTTTGGCGCTTGGAGGCCGACGCGCCGGGCAGTCCGCTCAATCAGGTTACCCTCGGTTGACTTTGGGTTAAACTCGGCCAGAAGATCCTTGTACTTGCGATTGTTGAACAGATAGGTGAGGGCGTCCTGGGAGTGGTGGTGGCCGCTGCTGTCTGTGCTTGCGCTCTGCCACTGCTGGCGCAGCTGGGCCGCCCAGGTGCGATCGCCATTGACGCGGGTGAACTGGCGGTTGATCTCGCGCAGCAGGTGGCGATATGTGTGCAGCGGATTCGCAGACATGAGTAGTAGCAAAAAAGCAGTAATTTAGGGGTTGTGTGCGTGCGGGGTGGAATATAGTCGAAGTTGAGGCGTTTAATTTGAAACGCACCGCGCGGTGCGCCAACCAAAGCTGAGTGGCTCGGAGATAAGGCGGGCCAATGGGTATGGGAATATCAGAAATTTTAGAGTTTTTTATTCAGTTGATCTTTTTCCAGTTCAGAATTCAGAATTCAGGGTTTAAGGTCTGATGATTCGATGACTCGATTCAAGGACCTGGTGTTGAATGGAAAAGGTGGCCTGATGATGTTTGCCTGTCATGCGCATGGAAGGTGGCTCGCACAAATGCAAGCTAAATGGTACGGTCAAAGCTGCTTTATTGCGACGTCGCCCTTTCTTTCTACAAAATATAAAAATAAATTGTCGTACGATTAAAACCCCATATATTTCAGTTAATACAAAACCACATGGCACAGCATCGAGCAGCGGCGCCATCATCATCATCATCATCATCATCCTCATCCTCCTCCTCCTTCGATGGCAGGCGGCGGAGCGGGCGAGCACAGAATGCGGCCGGGGTTGGCAGGTGGAGTGCGGTGCGGATATTCAAGGCCCTGCTTTTCGCAGCGCTGACGATCGGGCTCTTGTCTCTTGCTCGCAATTTTTACTTTACAAAACAACCAATGCACTCGATTCTCAAACAAGCTACAAAGGCAGCAAGCAGCAGCCATACAGCAGCGCAGGCGGGCATTGTCATAGTCGGAGGCGGGCTGGCCGGACTTGCAGCTGCCGTAGAGGCGCTGCAGCGGACGCAGGGCTCGGGCGTGACAGTGGCTCTCCTTGAAAAGGAGGCGCGCACCGGAGGCAACTCGGCCAAGGCGTCTTCGGGCATCAACGGCGCCGGCACGCAAACGCAGCGCAAACTGGGCATCAACGACACGGTGGCAGCGCTCGAAGCTGACACGCTGCGGTCGGCGCGCGGCGAGGGCTCAAGTGTGCTTGCAGAGCGGCTAGCGCAGGATAGTGCGGGCGCCGTCGAGTGGCTGCAGACCCAGTTTGCGCTGGACCTTGACGTGGTTGCGCAACTGGGCGGCCACAGCGTGGCGCGCACACACCGGCGGCCCGACACGCCCGACGGCCGGCCGCAGCCCGTCGGCTGGGGCATTGTCAGCACACTGGCAAAGCACCTGGCCGACGAGCCGCGGTTCCGGCTGATGGCCGGCGCGCGCGTGACAACGCTCGAGCTGGACGGGGCGCGCATAAGCGGCGTCACGTACGAGCAGGACGGCGCTACGCAGCAGCTTGATGCTCGTGCCGTGGTGCTGGCCACCGGCGGGTTTGGGGGCGGCGGCGAGTGGCTCAAGCGCTACGCGCCGCAGCTGGAAGCGCTGCCGGCCACTAACGGCGCATTTGCCACAGGCGACGGGCTGCAGCTGGCCACGGCGGTTGGCGCGGCGCTTGTTGGCATGGAGCGGGTGCAGGTGCATCCCACGGGATTTGTGCGCGCCAGCGAGCCCGTGGCACACACAAAGTTTCTTGCGGCCGAGGCCCTGCGTGGCGCTGGCGCGCTGCTGCTGGACGCGCGTGGCCGCCGCTTTGTCAACGAGCTGGCAACGCGCGACGTTGTGACCAGCGCCATTAACGACGCGTGCGGATCGCCGAACACCCGCGCCACACATGCCGGCGCTG